TAGACAGACACTTCACTCATTTGACTGTAATACATAACTAATCATATCTTAACACTTGTGGGAAATTATTGGGTCATGTTACTAACCTGACCCAATGTCAGGTCACTCATTGTTGGGTGGGGGATTAGTGGGTCTTATAACCTGAAGATGTCTAAAATGACATTATTTTTTACCTATGAGGTATATACATAGTACTGTATTGTATATGAAGGATACAGATATTAATAAGCACAAATTATTACAGTAATGTATCATTACTAATTAATGAAAAACAAATAAACAATATTGTATCATGAATGAGGCAGTACAATAGACAAACAATCAGTGAGGCAACCCTTGTGGGGGAGGGGGGGTGTCACATTTACCTCAATGGACCCTTCTTCCACTCAATCCCTACCTCACAGCATTCCTTATAAACTTTATTTTGTTAAAGAGATGAATTTGATGTGATAATGATCCTCTATGAAACGTTTCCATTTTGATATCCTTAAATGACAAACCAAATAATAAGGCCAAATTAAGTACTGTATTTTACTGTATATGAAGGGTACTGATATTAAGCTCAGACTATTACACTTTCTATCCCCAAGTCTTTATGTAAAGAACTAAACAAAGAATTTATTTGAAATACTCCGTAACATTTGCTACTGCCCTGTACATCTCTCCTCGACTTAAGACATATTCGACTTACGACAACCCGGACATACGACGGCCATGGTCGTATAAAATATTTTTCACATAACGTATTTTCGAGTCCCGACGTTAGTGATCGTGCTGTGTACTAACAAAATTTTCATTTGTAATTCCCTTTAAAATGGCTGGCAAGCGTAAAAGTGAGAGTTCTCGTGGTGCTGAGAAGAAAAAGAGACACTCATTTTAGAATTTCTATGCATTATTTTCGCCCTTTCGACTTACGACCTGGTCGTGAAAAGGCCATAATTTTGAGCAGCATATTACTGTACTCATTTTGTACTCAATGTACTGTGCCAAAGGACTAAAGTTTTTATATCTTGTGCAAATACTGTATAAGTTATATTCTGTTACGTCAAATCAGTGACATTTTATAAGAACACTTGAAGCTTAAAACAAAATTCATCCCATTACATTAATCGTTATCATTGCCGTCTGCCCCCCCCTGCTGGCTGGGAAGTGGGGTGTTGACAGCCAGGAGGAGAGATTAACGCATACTCAAGGATTATAAAAGGCAGGGAGTTTTAAGTTTTTTGCTTATAAAATGTCACTGACTATAACTTGCAAGATGGAATTCTTGCAGGATAGCGATTAATTTAAGTATAAACATCCCATAGTTGGCACTGGACATAAAATTTTTTTTAATTAATTAGTACATTTGAGTACAGGTTGCTCAGCAGTTGTGGTTGCAGTTGCAAAGCTTCGAGACATCATTAGTGTATAAAGCGTCTCCATATGCCCTGGTTTATTCATTGATCAGTTGTCTAAGTGCAAAAGTAACTAAGTCGAGTTATCATGTATCAATTAATTTTAAAATAGAGATTAGAATGTAAAATGTTATAAGACAATGCATTAGTAGTGCTGTTAATGTGTAAGCTGTGTAAGTGTCTTGGCATGTCACCTCACCATCTGACTCCTGAACATTATCTTCATCAATTTCTTGAAATTCTACAATGTGCTTGGCAAGCTCAACAATATTTATTTGAATGTTTGGTACACGCACACACACACTCACACGGGAATTAAGACAACAAGCATCCAGCGAGGGTCTTGTTGTGTGACTGCATGGAGGCGAATTAAAAGATCAGCTGTTGAGGAGCTTATCGCTTGCCTACAGTGGTGCATGTTACACTCCTTTCAACTCCATCTCTCTAATCACCCACACCTTTCTGCTTTCTCACTCCATATTTTAAAATGTTATGTAATGTAATGTTGAAGGGATACAACTTTGCTCATTTATACTTATACTTATCACTCTCCCTAAAAATACTTAATCTTTTGTGTTTATTTGAGATATCTTCAGGTCATGAGACCCACTAATACCCCACCCAAGAAAGGGTGACCTGACATTCCATTAGAAGGTCAGTAATATGAGACCACCTGACATTGAGCCAGGTCAGGTTCCCTCCCTCCCCAAAATACTTAAACTTTCTTCTTTATTCAAGACATTTTCAGAAAATGCTCTCGATTTTCAACCTCGGAAAATTTATTCCCAAAGCTGGAAATTTGTTGGAAAATTTCGGCTTTGGGAATAATTTTCCGAGCAAATTTAAATTCTGGTTATCAGAGAGTTCCGGGTTTGAGGGACTCCAGGTAACGGAGATATTACTGTACTGCTGCTACTTTGCTATCACTCGGAATCGAGTATGATGATCATCCAGCTATGATACAACGATATGAGTTATTAAGGATGTCATTCACGTTGGTGAGTTCTGAGGTGACTAAAGAGGCCGATATGGGACTGGTAGTGTAATTCACAGATATTGAACTTGTGGGGGAGGGGCGGCAGCAGCATCTTTCCGGCATTGGCATTTGCGCTTGTCTGCCTCGGTTTGCGATCGGGCTAAATCGAAAGTATTGCCACCTTCTCGTGTGGTGCTCCTCCAAGCTTTATGGTGTGGAGTAATCGTCTCCCAGGTGAGGGGGTCAATATGGCTTTTTTTTTCATGTTTGTCTTAAGACTATTCTTTTACCTTTTCAGTTGCCCACCAGCGTTACGTTTACTATTCGTTAGGTGACTGTAAAGTAGCTGCTTTGGCAGTCACCTGTCGTCCATGCAGGTAACATGGCCAGTCCAGCATAGTTGTTCATGGATAATGGTAGCCTCGATGCTCCTACAGTTGATGTCAGGGAGAATACTGGTACTTAATTTTGTTCTCCTGTCTTCCCAGCGAACTCGGAGGATGGAACGTAGACTACATTGGTGAAAGTTTTCAAGTGTCTTGAGGTGCCTCTTAGTTGTGACCCATGTCTCACTGCCATATAGCAGGGTGGGGAGAACCACTGCTCGATAAACGTGTAATTTTGTAAATAATTTAAGCTTCCTCCTGCTGAAGATACGGGTTCGGAGCCTGCCAAAGGTTTGAGATGCACATCTGATCCGATGTTGAATCTGTTCATCTATGTCGTCAGGGGTGGACAGTTGGGAGCCAAGATACCGAAAGTGGGTAACATTAGAGAGGGTAGTACTGTTAAGATGGATGGGTGGTGGAGGTGTTGCTGAACCAGGAGCAGATTGAAAGATAATTTAAGTCTTACGTACATTCACCTCAAAGCTGAAGTGTGCATACGCATCTACGTAGGTGTTCAGGATCTCTTGTAGGTCGCGTTCAGTGTGAGCGACAAGGGTGAGGTCGTCTGCATACTGAAGTTCAGTAATGGAAGCCGCCGACACCTTTGCTCCAGCCTGGATTCGTCTTATGTTGAAAAGACCCTTCATCTGGCTAAATTGGCACTGGCACAAGTAAGGAAGGCAGCCAAGAAAATAGAAAAAGGAGTTAGTCACTGTACACATTCTTATTTTACCCCTGTTTGGATGGGGAAGAAATCAGACTGGGTGCCATTGTGCAGCCAGAGGGCTTCCTTGTTGATTGAGTCGAAGGCCTTGTTTGGCACACACACACACACACAACACAATTCAACACATACAAATAATTAATAATGGGAAAATCCTCTCACAAATAATGAGAAACAAAACAACAAAATGTATCGAAATGTAGAAAAATGTGAGAGAGTACCCTCAAGTCAACTCTGCTTTGTTATTAAAGTTGTGTTGGTTGGGTTGCCATACGGCAATTTTTATCTCATAAAAATTTTTGTCTCAAGAACGAATGGTTCTCAGTCCCGGCCACGAAAATGCCGCCAACTATAAAACTACCCGTATACGTTCTTGGGTACATCCAGGGTGTCATCCACGAATAATCAAGGACTGCGAATTAAAAATCCTTGAATTATCGGGGTATGCTGTATTCAAATTTGTCCCGTTATACATTCTTCATATAACATAAACGGATGTCTTCCTCAAGTAAAGGGATGAGTTTTATTTTTATTTTTATTGTTCATTGACCCAAATCAGGTCCTTGGGGTGGAAATATAATAATAATAATAATTAAATAATAATAATTGATAAAAAATTTTAAGTTAATCAAAATTAATAAAAATATTACATAAAACAATAATAATAATAATAAAGTACCAAAATTAAAAAAAAAATCGGTCGTGAGAAACGATGATTGTATGTTGTGTTGTCAAGGTAAGAGAAACAAATGAAACCCTGAAATTGTGTGTAAATGAAGCAGAAAGTCAGATCAGCAACCTGGGACTTGGTCACAATTTTTTTGATGCCATATGGCAGCAGGGTTCTAGGAAGGTAGATTCAAATTTTTCTCCACAATTGTTTTGACAGGAACTATTAAGTGCTATTAGTGATGCTCCTGTTTATACAGTGCAACCTCGAAAATTCGAATTGCATGGGCCAATGAAGTACAATATACGAATTGTAGATGTATGGAAGCGCCAGAGCAAATTGTTGCATCAAAACATGCTACAAAAATTATTTACATATCTAAAAACTGTCAATAAGCAATAGGTATAATAAATTAAAAGTATTACTGTATATTCAACAACATTTATTCTAATATATATATAAAACATTATAGCTACAGTGGTCTCCATGTAATCCTGCCAGTCTCCAAATACTGTACTGTACAACACTCCGTCTCCATCCACCTTCACTGTACTGGATACAATGCGTGACCTAGCATGTCTTGGAACCCGGATGCGCTTGTTGTGCTCAGCATTATGATCGCATTTAAAAGCTTGAATTATTATGGCGATATTTTTCAGATTCCTAACCTAAAATTTGGCACTTATTTTAATCAGATGCTATTCGAATTTTAGATGTATCCAAATTTTTGAGGTTCAAATTTTAGAGGTTTCACTGTACTGAAAAAATCATTGCATTACAGGGTATTTTATCACTTAAACTGTTTTCATGACTGAATCTTAAAGGTATTTTTTTCTTTCCTCAGACTGTTTCCATCATCGCAGTTATACTCGTTAGTATTGGAATTGATGCTCCATACGGTTATCATTGGTCAGCTGTCATGATGATATGTGGGAATGCCGCCATCCTCTTCCGTACCATACCTACACTGGTGGCAGAAAAAATTTGCCATCAGACATTTGTTCTCCCTGATGTGGTGGTAAGTTTTGATAGATAATTATTAGAAAGTGGATGAGAAAGGTGTTAAAACTGGAAAACAACAAACAAGTTTTGCTATTTCTATATCAGTGTTCTGTGTGAGAGGGAGGATGAATTATATGGACTCATGATCTGTATGGGAGTTACTATGAGCAGGTATAGGTGAATATCTCTCTCTCTCTCTCTCTCTCTCCTATCTCTCTCTCCTATCTCTCTCTCCTCTCTCTCTCTCTCTCTCTCTCTCTCTCAACCTTTTTAATATATATATATATATATATATATATATATATATATATATATATATATATATATATATATATATATATATATATATATATATATATATATATATATATATATATATATATATATATATATATATATATATATATGCAAGTAAATCACTGTAGGTGCGCGTGATCTAGGTATATGCTGATAACCACAAGGAAAGAAGAAAACACGAAGTTCCCAAGCTCTTTTGTGTAATTCACATCTTCAGGGGTGAGTACAGACTAAAGAGAAGCACAAAACAAGGTGTATATATACAGAGGAGGGTGAGATCAGGTCCACAATGGTCAGGTATTAGGTAATGACCCTACTAATCTTTAAATAGCACTGCAACGGTCGGTAGTCAGGTCAGAGGGTAAGGTGACCCAACCTTCTCACCTAAAAGAAACGTAAAAGAAATAAATGACCTTAGTGCAAAGCTGGAGTGCACATGTACTAATTTGATTACGGTACTAAAATTGTTATATCTTGTGCGAATTACAACATGTTTATATTCAAATAAATGAGTGTCTTACAAGAATCCCAGCAATGTTAATTATATTCTCCTAGGTCATATCACTGGCATTTTAAAATGAGAGAAGCTTTGTAGGACTGTGAAATAAACACACAGAGACCTTTGGCTCAAACTTATCACCTCAACCCCCCCACCCCCCCCAACCCCTCACTAGCTGGCTGGCTGCCTCCCTCCCTCCCTCCCTCCCTCCCCAGCCAGGGTTTTAGGCTTACAGTTTTTATCCTATATAATATCTCAGACTAAAGTTAGGAGATTATAATTTGCATTGCTGGAATCCTTGCCAGACAGCCAATAATTTGAATATAAACGTCATATATTTTGCTCAATAGATAAAAATTGTTGTACATTAGTGTACAGTACTGTAGTACATTTTATAAAAAAGTTTTTCAACTGTAATTTTGGGTAGATTTACATAGATTTCTTCATTTATTTTCATTCATTTACATGCACACACCATACTAAAATAAATGTAATATAAATAAATGACCTTAGTGCAAAGCTGGAGTGCACATATACTAATTTGATTACGGTACTAAAATTGTTTTTTCTAGTGCAAATTACAGCATGTTTATATTCAAATTAATCAGTATGTTACAAGAATCCCAGCAATGTTAATTATATTCACCCAGGTCATTTCACTGGCTTTTTATAAGAGAGAAGCTTAGTTACTTAAGAACTGATAAATATACACGCGTTAGACCTGGGCCTGTGTCAACTGTCAAACGTACTACCTCGCCTCCCCTCACGCCCCCTCGCTCGTTCATTCCCCCATCTGCCCGGCGTTGCTGGAATCCTTGTAAAACTGTGAATAATTTTAATATAAACTTCATGTATTTTGCACAAGAGATAAAAATTAATCACCTGTATCACATTACAGTAGTGATTTAAGAATAAAAGTGTATATGTAAGTATATAGTATTCCGCATACACGTAAGTATAAATACAAAGTTTCTGTGATGATCGGACAACATCCATTTCGGTTAACGTCATGTTTCCAAGAACGTATCTAGGACGTTAACTGGCGCATGACTGTATACTGTTTTCTCCCAAACATTTCTCTGGTAGGGAGGGAAGGTGGGAGGAAGGGATGGACCCCGCTATCGTGTGAAGAGGGGGGGGGGCAGCCGGAAGGTGTGTATATTTTCAGCCTTCGGGCTGCAGAACTTTTTCAATAAACCGTCAATTATTATTATTATTATTATTATTATTTTGATTGACAGATAGTGTCTGGATGACGAATATTTTTTTTCATTTAGTGAAGATATTTGTTTTAGCTCATAAAATTCATACAAATTACCTGGCCAGAATATAATTTACATTGCTGGAATTCTTACAATATGATGATCATTTTGAATATAAACATCATGGATTTTACATTAGACATACAAATTTTAGATCTAATGTAATAATTTGGTTTACACAAAGCAAATATTTTATCTTTTGTGCAAAATATATGAAGTTTACATTCAAAATATTCCTCGACATTGCAAGGAATCCAGAAATGTCAATTATATTATCCTAACTTTAGTCTGAGGTATTATTTATTACTATACCTTAAAATCTAGTGTTTTCACCCAAACATTTCTCTGAGAGGGAGGAACCAGTGAGCTTGGGAAGAGAGGGGAGCGGGGCGGGAGTTGAGTCCATTATTTGAATGAACATTAACCTGGCAACTGTATTTCTCTTAAATATTAATTGTGTATGCTTACCATCATAAAATTAAGATATTATTTTTACTACAACATAGGTATTGTGTCGGAAAAAGTGGAGTTGGGGGTCGGGCCAGTCTCTATTGGAATTAATCCTATATGTTCTGTTGTTCACTTTACGCGGTTTTCACTTTCCGCGGTACTCTGTGGGTTCAATTGACCACATAAATTAGGGTACTACTGTATAGTGAATATATTTTATACTTATGGTTATAGGTGAATGAAATTGTAATTTTTACATTTATATGATAGTAAACCTCTGAATTATTATACTGCATACAGTGGTCCCTCGATTAATGAACCCAATTGGCTCCACAGAGTCATTTGTTAACCAAAAATTTTGTTAACTGAATCTATTATTTCAATGGGATATTGGGTAATTAGTTCCTACTCACAGAAAAAGTACATACAGAGTAAAGCAAAAAAATGCATAAAGTCATAAACACTTCTAAAAATCCCCTAAATTGCCCTTAAATCAATCAATCAATCAGTCAATTAATAAATAAATAAATAAATATATATATATATATATATATATATATATATATATATATATATATATATATATATATATATATATATATATATATATATATATATATATATATATATATATATATATATATATACACAGTTGTACCCCACTTAACGCGTCAATTGAACCCAGAGGGTCCCGCGTTAAGTGAACAACAGAACATATGGGATTAATTCCAATAGAAACCGGCCCGACCCCCAAACTCCACTTTTTGAAGGCACATACCTATGTTGTAGTAAAAATAACATCTTAATTTTATGATGGTACATGCACACAATTAATACTTAAGAGAAATAGAGAAATACAGTCGCCAAGTTAATGTCCATTCAAATAATGGACTCAACCTTGCCTCCCCCCCTCTTCCAACCGCGCGGTCAGTCCCAACCCTCCCCCCCACCCCCCACCAATCCTCCCTTCCAGGGTTTTTAACATTTAGTATTAAATAATACCTCAGATTAAAGTTAGGATAATATAATTGACATTGCTGGATTCCTTGTAAGACCAGGAATATTTTGAATATAAATGTCATATATTTTGCACAAAAGATAACATAGTTAATTTGAGAAAAATTTTTATCTAAAATTTGTATGTCTAATGCAAAAATATGATGTTTATATTCAAAATGATCATCAAATTATAAGAATTCCAGCAATGTAAATTATATTCAGACCGGGTAATTTGTATGAATTTTATGAGCTAAAACAAATATCTTCAGTTAATAAAAAAAATAAATAATTCTTCACAGGGTAACAGATGGTCGGTCGGTCCCTCCCTCCCCCCCACCCCCCACCAACCGTCCCAAGGAGATGTGTGGGATAACCACTAAATTTTAATAAATAATACCTCAAACTAAAGTTAGGATAATATAATTGACATTGCTGGATTCCTTGTAAGACCAGGAATATTTTGAATATAAATGTCATATATTTTGCACAAAAGATAACATAGTTAATTTGAGAAAAATTTTTATCTAAAATTTGTATGTCTAATGCAAAAATATGATGTTTATATTCAAAATGATCATCAAATTATAAGAATTCCAGCAATGTAAATTATATTCAGACCGGGTAATTTGTATGAATTTTATGAGCTAAAACAAATATCTTCAGTTAATAAAAAAAAAAATAATTCTTCACAGGGTAACAGATGGTCGGTCGGTCCCTCCCTCCCCCCCACCCCCCACCAACCGTCCCAAGGAGATGTGTGGGATAACCACTAAATTTTAATAAATAATACCTCAAACTAAAGTTAGGATAATATAATTGACATTGCTGGATTCCTTGTAAGACCAGGAATATTTTGAATATAAATGTCATATATTTTGCACAAAAGATAACATAGTTAATTTGAGAAAAATTTTTATCTAAAATTTGTATGTCTAATGCAAAAATATGATGTTTATATTCAAAATGATCACCAAATTATAAGAATTCCAGCAATGTAAATTATATTCTGGCCGGGTAATTTGTATGAATTTTATGAGCTAAAACAGGCAGTCAGGCAGGGTGGGGCAAATCTAAAAATAGCATCTCGAGCCGGACACTCACGCGTATATGTGGAAAAAATCCGTGTTAAGTGAAAGTTCAGCTCTGGCGAGGCACCGCGTATATGATAAAACGCGTTAAGTGAAACCGCGTTAGGCGGGGTAATACTGTATATATGTGTATATATATATATATATATATATATATATATATATATATATATATATATATATATATATATATATATATATATATATATATATATATATATATATATATATATATATATATATATATACATACATACATACAGTGACCCCTTGTTTAACGAACACCTCGGTTAACGTAATTTCGATTAACGAACTGCCTTCCATAAGGATCTTCAATTCGGTTAACGAAAAAAAATTCGGTTAACGAAGTTCTTACGAACCGACTTCAACATGTTTTCGCTTGCACTGACCGGGCAACCAGCTTTAGTATCAGTCCGCCAATACATTAATCGGTTCTAGGGCTTAAATTCCTTACTATTTTAGTAAATATCAAGAAGTTTATAATATTCAATAATTTTAAAAGTTTAATATTCAATTTTTTAGTCATTTTAACAATTATTGAACATAATTGAAGGTAAAGTGACTAGTTTAATGCGCGGCATCCAGCCTCTTAACACAGCAATCAGGAGTTAGTCTCTCTCTGTTTTCACTGGAGTTAACATCTTGCTTGAGACTCTTCAACTAAACGCTTTTTTTCTGTGTTTCCAGGCAAATTATTGGTCATTTTGAAATATATTTTACATACTGACAATATATAATGCAGTGCAGTGTCGATATAAAGAAAATAATCTTGAATTACACCAAGAGAGCTAAAATTATATGGGTGAAATGGCACCATGGGGTGACTTCTCTTCCACCCCAATACCTTTTCTTCTTCCTTCTCCTCCACCCCCATTCTAAATCCCATCATCATCATCATCATCATCCAGGAGCCTTCTACATACACACCTCAAAGTAAGCGAACTTTTCTACCATTTTTGTTGAATTTAGGAAATTTTCGGTGAGCTGGAACCAATTACCCAAAAACCCATTGAAACAATGGTTTCGGTTAACGAACTTTTCGGTTAACGAACGACCTTCTGGAACGGATTGAGTTAAATTTGGAGGAGATACTGTGTATATATATATATATATATATATATATATATATATATATATATATATATATATATATATATATATATATATATATATATATATATATTATATATATATATATATATATATATTATATATATATATATTATATATATATATATATATATATATATATATATATATTATATATATATATATATATATATATATATATATATATATATATATATATATATATATATATATATATATATATATATATATTATATATATATATATATATATATTATATATATATATATATATATATATATATATATATATATATATATATATATATATATATATATATATATATATATATATATATATATATATACAGTATTACCCCGCTTAACGCGCTTTCACTTAACGCGTTTTCGCATATATGCGGTGCCTTGCCAAAGCTGAACTTTCACTTAACGCGGATTTTTCCACAGCAACGTGGTGAGTGTCCAGCAACGTGGTGAGTGTCCGGCTCGAGAGCTATTTTTAGAGTCGCACCACCCCCCACCCTGCCTGACTGCCTGTTTTAGCTCATAAAATTCATACAAATTACCCAGCCAGAATATAGTTTACATTGCTGGAATTCTTATAATTTGGTGATCATTTTGAATATAAACAACATATTTTTTGCATTAAACATACAATTTTTAGATAAAATGTTTAATCTGAGTAAGTATGTTATCTTTTGTCCAAAAAATATGACATTTATATTCAAAATATTCCTGGTCTTACAAGGAATCCAGCAATGTCAATTATATTATCCTAACTTCAGTTTGAGGTATTATTTATTAAAATTTAGTGGTTATCCCACACATCTCCTTGGGACAGTTGGTGGGGGGGAGGGAGGGACCAACCGACCGACCATCTGTTACCCGGTGAAGAATTATTTTTTTTTAACTGAAGATATTTGTTTTAGCTCATAAAATTCATACAAATTACCCGGTCAGAATATAATTTACATTGCTGGAATTCTTATAATTTGGTGATCATTTTGAATATAAACAACATATTTTTTGCATTAAACATACAATTTTAGATAAAATGTTTAATCTGAGTAAGTATGTTATCTTTTGTCCAAAATATATGACATTTATATTCAAAATATTCCTGGTCTTACAAGGAATCCAGCAATGTCAATTATATTATCCTAACTTTAATCTGAGGTATTATTTAATACTAAATGTTAAAAACTCTTGAATGGAGGATTGGTGGGGGGTGGGGGGAGGGTTGGGACTGACCGCACGGTTGGAAGAGGGGGGGAAGGCAAGGTGGGGTACTTTGATTGACAGATAGTGTTGAAGAATATATTTTTTTTTTATTAACTGTAGATATTTGTTTTAGCTCATAAAATTCATACAAATTATCCGGCCAGAATATAATTTACATTGCTGGAATTCTTATAATTTGGTGATCGTTTTGAATATAAACAACATATTTTTTGCATTAAACATACAATTTTTAGATAAAATGTTTAATCTGAGTAAGTATGTTATCTTTTGTGAAAAATATATGACATTTATATTCAAAATATTCCTGGTCTTACAAGGAATCCAGCAATGTCAATTATATTTTCCTAACTTTAGTTTGAGGTTATCCCACACATCTCCTTGGGACGGTTGGTGGGGGTGGGGGGGGGGAGGGAGGGACCGACCGACCATCTGTTAGCTGGCTGTGTACTGTAGTGTGAGAGGGGGAGGGAGTTGAGTCCATTATTTGAATGGACATTAACTTGGCGACTGTATTTCTCTTAAGTATTAATTGTGTGCATGTACCATCATAAAATTAAGATGTTATTTTTACTACAACATAGTTATTTGTCGTCAAAAAGTGGAGTTTGGGGGTCGGGCTGGGTTCTATTGGAATTAATCCCATATGTTCTGTTATTCACTTAACGCGGTTTTCACTTAACGCGGGACCCTCTGGGTTCAATTGACCGCGTTAAGTAAATTCTGTATATATATATATATATATATATATATATATATATATATATATATATATATATATATATATATATATATATATATATATATATATATATATATATATATATATATATATATAATCACAATGAAAACGTGGATAAGATAAATCTTGATAAAATCACACGGGAAAATGGAAACAACGGAGTACCTTAGCTTTCGTCTTTATTCAAGACATCTTCAGAGGCAACTGGATTACATGGACAGAGAGAGGCTTAAATATACAGGGTGACCTAAAAACATGAGGTCAGGTCATAATGATGACATCCACTAATCCCCACACCAACACAACCGTAGAGGAGCTTAAGAGAAGGGTGGTGACGTGACTAGACAGGTCAGGTCAGAAAAAAGGGACCCACAAAATAACTGTCATACATCAAGATCAAAGGTTTTCAAAGCATTTTTAACCTTGGGCCACTGACAAATAAATTTATGTAACATATCAGTTTTGAACTGACCATCACTAAGGTTTATTGATTTTAATTCCTTAATCAAACTAGCTTCAACCAGAAGTCTTTGTGACACAAGATGATTTGAATACTAAGCTTTTTTCCCAAGCAATGGGGTGATTATTATTCCTAACATGAACGAACAAGGCACTGCTTTCAGATGCAGTTCTGATATTATACTTATGTTGTTTGATTCTGAGCTGCAGTGTTTTTCCTGTCTGACCTACATAATTACAATTACATTTGCTACATGGAATACAATAAACACTTCCATTTACATTCAAACTTGGGCTATTCCTTTTGTCTTTATTCCAAACATCTTCAGAGGCAACTGAATTACAAGGACTGAGAGAGGCTTGTGTACAACATGAGGTCAGGTCAAAAACATGACATCCACTAATCCACACACCACCACAAACACAAGAAGAGCTTAAAAGAAAGGGTGACGTAACTAGTCATGTTTAGTCAGGTAAAAAATATATAAGACCCACTAATCATCTATCCTACATGTACCTCAAATGCTTTCAAAGCTTAAAGGTAATTTTTTTTTTCAGAGGGCTTTGCACTTTTTCTTGGAAAATCTTACCCTGTTCATCAGTGCCATAGGAAGCTGTATCTCCTCATGGTCTTCTGTGGAAGTTACTGCTGCTGTGATCAATATATTATACATAATAGCCCAGGTAAGTACTCGTGTATATATGCACTCCTTCAGTTTTTACCTCTGCTGCCTTGCACTCCTGCTAGTTAGGATATCTGGTTTTAATATTTTTGGTGTAAACTCTTATAATGAGGGAGATGTAGATATAGTTGGAATTTATTTAGTTGTATAATAAAATGAAGTCATGTTTAATGGATATACAGTAAACCCTCGAAGATCCGGACCTGGTAAATCTGGATTTCGGAAGATTCGAACAAAAAACTTTGGGGTTCTAGGCTAAGAAGAATTCCCAAAACAAGGTGAAGGTAGTTTTAGGCTTAAGTTTTTATCTTATAAAATTTCACAAACTTAACCGAATACAGTAATCCCGTGTTTTTCGTGGGAATTACGTTCCTGAAACCCCCTGCGAAAAGCCAAAACCGCGAATACTCTGTTTAGGAATCACTGTACCTGTGCCCACCAAACAGCTCAGGTAGGTCATGCACTTAACCACACCATGCTCTCCACTCATGGCCCAGTGGTCACACTGATCACTGATGCACTGTATCAGCATTTACAAGTATCATTATTTGAAACTAATCTTGGAATGGAAAATGGAAAAACGTAAACACAATTAAGGGGAAATACAAAAAAAAATTATTTACAAGTAAATAAAAAAATGTTATACAGAGTATTTCGCTGAGGTCGGCAACACCTGCATTGCCAGCCTCTCCCTGCTGTCCCGGCGTCTGCCTGCAGTCACGCCTGCCAGCCAGTCCTCTTCCACCCACATTCCTCCACTTGAAGACTTGTATTCTGACAAAAGACAGAAATGAATTGTCAGTCTTCACATCTCGAGCCATTGCTCATACCACCTCTGAGCTTGTCCAGTAAAACTGTTTTTTCAGTTAAGGTCATCACTATTCTTGATCTCTTGGTCACTTTACAGTCTTTGCTAGTAATATTTGCCTTTGATGAGGCTGGCTTATGTCCCGGAGCCATGTGGAATGCACGTGGGAGGACAAACAGAAGAGGTAATCACAGTAGTGTTCACATTACGGTAGGCACGTGCGGAATGAGGCTTCTCGGAGCAGTGGGTGTCTGAGGCGGGAAAGGGTGGCGTCTGTATACCGCACCACACGGGAATATTGAAAATGGCGCGAAATTTTAATTTTTGTTTTTAAAGGATATTTTATATATACAGTCTCTCCTCGACTTACGACGAGGTTCCGTCCTGACAACCAGGTCTTAAGTCGAAAAGGCGAAAATAATACATAGAAATTCTAAAATGGGGATCTCTTTTTCTTCTCAGCACCATGAGAACTCTCACTTTTACGCTTGCCAGCCATTTTAATGGGAATTACAAACGAAAGTTTTGTCAGTACACAGTGCAATCACTAACATCGGAACTCGAAAATACGTAATGTGAAAAATATTTTATACGACCATGGCCGTCGTATGTCGAGGAGAGACTGTATATAATTTTTTTTCTTTAAAAGCGCAAATGGTCAAAACCGCGATAAAAAAAAACGCGAAAAACACGGGATTACTGTATAACTTGCATTGCTGGAATCCTTGCAAGATAGCAAATAATTTGAGTATAGACACATCATATATTTTTCACAAGAGATAAAAAATTTTAGTCCTTTAGTGTAGTACATTTAAGTACAAGTTTTCAACTCGTATTTCTTCATTTATTTTTACTCATTTACATGCACACACTATCCTAAATATGTATTGTGAAAAAGGTAAAAGAAATTGTCCTGAGGGCAAACCTGTTCTGTACTCAAATGTACTGAATAATTGCTAAAATTTTTATGTCTAGTGCCAACTATAGCATGTTTTTATTTAAATTAATTACTATCTTAAACAAGAATTCCAGCAATGTAAGTTATATTCTCCCAAGCCAATTCAGTCACATTTTATAAGCGAAAAACTTAAAATCCCGCTATATGACTGATAACTACCCACTGGGTAATCTCCCCACTGGCTGGTGGCCTCCTCCTCCTCCTCCTCCTCCTCCTCCTCCTCCTCCTCCTTTTCCTCCTCCTCCTCCTTTTCCTCCTCCTCCTCCTTTTCCTCTCCTCCTCCTCCTTTCTCCTCCTCCTCCTCCTCCTCCTCCTTTCCTTCTCCTCCTCCTTTCCTTCCTCCTCCTCCTCCTCCTCCTCCTCCTCCTCCTTTTCCTCCTCCCTCCTCCTCCTCCCTTCCTCCTCCTCCTCCTCCTCCTCCTTCTTTTCCTCCTCCTCCTCCTTTTCCTCCTCCTTTTCCTCCTCCTCCTCCTCCTTCCTCCTCCTCCTCCTCCTCCTCCTCCTCCTCCTCCTTCCTCCTCCTCCTCCTCCTTCCTTCCTCCTCCTCCTCCTCCTTTCCTCCTCCTTTCCTCCTCCTTTCCTCCTCCTCCTCCTCCTCCTCCTCCTCCTCCTCCTTTTCCTCCTCCTTTTCCTCCTCCTCCTCCTTCCTCCTCCTCTCCTCCTTTTCCTCCTCCTCCTTTTCCTCCTCCTTTTCCTCCTCCTCCTCCTCCTCCTCCTCAAGGTAGTTTTAGGCTTATGTTTTTATCTTTAAAAAATGTCACAAAGTAAACAGAATATAACTTGCATTGCTGGAATCCTTGCAAGATGGCAAATAATTTTAATATCGACATCACATGGTTTGCAAAAGAGATAAAAATTTTATTTCTCTAGTGTAGTACATTTGAGTACAAAGTGAGTACAGTAATATGTTGCTCAAAATTATGGCTTTTTCACAGGAAAAAGTGTATAACCAATAGGGGGCAGTGAAATTTTGCTCAAAGCTGCACTCTTCAGGCATTGTTCCTTATACATATCTAAGACTCCATGCCAAATTTGAAGCTGATATGTCGAGGTTTAGTCTGCCGCATTTTCTACTGAAATTTTTAAATTTACCTACAGTACTAGCCAAACAGCCGCTGTGGCGGTGCAATGTTCTGTTCAGTGTTTATCAACTTTTTTTTCATATCTCTTATTTCATTTAAGTTGTCTTGTTGCAGATGAGTATGGTGCTATGTCTATATTGATTATCAGCCTTTTCTCATTTCATTTCTCAATGTTGTGTTACTGTACTGTAATGTAGGGGAGACCTGGGTAAGTTGGCGCACTTGAAATTATTCAAATAGTTACCGTTGACGATAATTCAGATGATTCAAGAGATATTCCTCTCGTCAATACTGATGCTGATTTTGTCCATGATCCAAGGGCTGTGACAGACACCAGTTCACAGAACCGGACAAGACTCCCTACACTGGCTGCCGCTTGTGACCGATACTTGATTAGTGATTATGCTGGAGCTGCCATTGCTACTGCCACCTTAACTGACTATGGCATTATCACAAAGGATGACAAGAGTCAGGTTATTGGACCACATAAGCTGCGGGATGCGAGACAAAAATACCGATTTAAGAGGCAAGAAATTGAGATGGCTAGTTTAGATAATTTGACGTCACTCTATTTTGATGGTAAGAAGACCGCCACTCGTGTGATGATAAAGAATGAGAAGACCGAGAAATGGAGTTCGAGGATGATGGTGAAAGATCATTATGTCATCATGGTTGAGCCTGGCAATGAATATCTCACACATGTGACTCCCAAGACTGGACACGGAAAGCAGATTGCCAAAACTATTCACGAGTTTCTGGTGGAGAAAAATCTAACCCAGCAGCCCATTGTGTGTGTTGGTTGTGATGGAACCAATGTAAATGTAGGATCAGAAAATGGAGTCATTCATCATCTTGAAATGTTACTTGGTCACCCGCTCCATTATTTCATATGTCAGCTTCACGGAAATGAGCTGCCTTTCCGCGCAGTTTTTTATCACTATGATGGTAAACCAAGTGGTCCTGAGCATTGGCGTGGTCCCATTGGAAAGCAGATCAAGGAGTCTTTGTCTGAGCTTCCAGTTGTCGCCTTCCAGCCAGTCAGTTTCCCTGATTTCTCTGTGTTTAATGATGAAGTGGAGAAAGATCTGTCCTGGGATCAGAAATACCTGTATAGGATTTGTAAAGGAGTTATCACAGGTGTTGTTGAAGATGACTTGGCTGCTATTGAGCCAGGTCCTCCCTGTGTGTCAAGGTGGAACACCTTATGGAGTAGAATCCTCAGGCTGTATGTAGCAACATCAAGACCCAGCCATGAGTTGAAAAGAACTGTCATTACAATAATAAAGTTCAGTGCTCCAATGTGGTTTTACATCAAGATACACCCTTACGTAACACACGGCTCAAGGAACGTATTCCAGTCCCTGCTATATATGAAACACCTGAATAGTGAGGAGGAGACGATAGTGAAGAAGGCTGTCCAGAGAAATGCATACTTCGCCCACACAGATCAACTTCTTCTTGGTATGTGTGCAGATGAGGACATGACTGTTAGAGATAAAGCTGTCTCAATGATAAGAAAAATTAGAGAGGAGAATCAGCAAAAGGAAGAATGCACTGGCAAATCTGAAGAGGAGGAGGAAGATTCTGATGCTGCTGTTGACGAGAATTTGTTAAACTATACTGATGAGGAGGGTAAAGATGGAGATGGGAATGAGGATGTGCCTCCTGTAGTCAACATGAGAAAGGTGGTGACTCCGAAACTAAAGTGGCAAGCAAAAAACTATCATTCCATGATTAACTGGAGGAATGAACTCAAGACTGAGCCTCCTTACATTGCTTCTCTGTCAAATCTACAGGTTAATGACATTCTTGAGACACCATTAGTGGTGCCCAAGTGGCCAAACAGCACTCAGGCGGTCGAGAGAGGCATAAAAGTGATGACTGAAGCTTGCACTGAAGTGACGGGATACGAATCGAGAGATGGATATATTAGGCAAAGATTATTGTCTAGGAAAATGATGCCAAGGTTCCGCACAAAAAAGAATTTCAATATGAACTTGTAATGATTTTCTATACGGTGTACCTGTAAAATAACATGTGAATTAAATCGATGTCACCCATGTAAAATTTATCATTATCCTGGAAAACATTAAATGACACCTAATTTTTGGTATACACTAAAAGTTGACAAAAAGTCGTTCGCGATGCGGTAGGGTAAGTATGCATGAAATGGCATGAAATTTTGCACAGGTGTTTGTTACAGCCATACAAACGATGCCTGAAAAGTGCAGCCTGCAACTCAAATAAAATTGTTTTTTCCCTGCCCCCTAATAACCAACCCCAGTGGTCAGGATAATATGTACTGTATTTTTTTTTTTTTTTTTTACATCACTATTTATCGTTTTTATACATTTAGTACATTCATCAGAAGATTCAGACAATCGGATTTTTTTGGACAGGTGGTGCCCCCTTATTGTCCGGATCTTCAAGGGTTCACTGTACTGTATACGAATACTGTAGTGTCGATCTGATCCTATCTGCTCTCCCTATATCCTTCACTTACGGTGTGACACATAAGTGACCCACAGAGTTTCGTTAACTGTGGCAGAGCTGGATGCTAGTACAGTACAATATGGGAATGAAAAAGTTTTCCTCTCAGGGACTAGGTGGTGCACTGAAGATCATAATGCAGTTGAATCAGCATGTCAATATTTCCAATTGTCATGCTAGTTTGGTGGTGTAGCTTTACAAATACTGTACCATCAAGCAAATTAATGGCAATCTTAAAGATCACATTTTTATCTCCCCAGCCATAAAATGGGTTACTCAAGCATCAGTCCATCTTTTGACATTTGTTCATAGTAGTTTCTAATCTATAACTTACAGTAGAGGTGGTAAAGTATTCGTGTTCCTGACTTGGATATTCACCATTATACTATTTTAGTACAAGAGTATATTGTATTGCTGTTAGGATATGTTCCTATGATATAAAAAAGCACTTTCCTAATTCAAATCATTCTATAATCCACAGGGCATTTTTGCATTTGTGATATACAAAATGCAGAAAAACACTGAAATTACTGGAGTATCTGAGGACACCAAAGTGCTTACAGAGTCCATGCCTGAAGATGAACGAGTAAATGAGTCGTGGCCTGAAGGTGGGCAGATAATAAATGGTTTGGAACAAGGAAGTCTTTCTCAGTCTTATGCTTAAGGCACTGCTGCAGCTTATAAAATTCTTACACCCCAATTCAAAATGGTAAGTGGGACTTATACCACAGTGAAGTAAATTTTATATTTTAGAATAAAAAATGGTACAGTATTTTGATGTGTTTTACAGAAAAACATTTTGTTTTGTTCACTGTGTTGTACTTTTTTAAATAACGTATGAACCACTCAATGACAGGTTCCTTAAAAACATTTGTAGTATTTTTATAATAGAATTGATGCACTTTTCACGCTTTAGTGTTCTGTTCATGAAAAACTTTTCATAAATCAAAATTTGTTAATCAAAGCACAATTTTCCATTGACTCGTTATAACAGTTGAGATACGTTCTTATTAGAATGAAAAATCCCCAAAAGTCTTAAAATGCTACATAATATGAGTTTAATGAAAATTTTTGGTGAACAGTACACAACAATTATTAGCCAACAACAAAAATCAAGTGAAATACATGCAATACACCTTTTCATAACCAAATGACAGAACACATATTGAATGACAATCTAAAATAACTGTTCATTCATGCTAATGGAAGTGATTGACATAAGTTATGAAGTTGACAGACGTGAACAATAAACCTACAGTCTACATATAGTATGAGAATGTAACAATTGGAGAATGACATACCACCAACAGTTATTTTAGATTGTCATTCGATATGTGTTCTGTCATTCGGTTATGAAATTTGTCAAATAGTTATGTAACAATGTCTCAACGGATATGTGAAAAGGTGTATAGTACAGTAATAATTATATACTTTCAAGAAACCTGATTCCTTGAAACTTGAGGTGGTTGTGTAGCTTAGGTAACAACTCTTAATATGTTGTTTTAGTTTGTTTTATAATTTTTTTGTTATGCTTGCTTAATGAAGTACAGTATTGAGGTTGCCCCCAAAACACAAATGTTTTTCATATTTTAAGCTATGTGGCAAAAGTGACAATTGAACCACAATGGCACTTTTTACACACAATGTCTACCGTATGTGTTTCTCGTTTCAGCAAGTTCTTGTGCATAGATTTGCCATTAAATAATGTGAGAGTTGCTTTAAGCTTATCTAAAGATATTGTAGCTTATACCATCTCCTGTAACACTTATAACACTACCTGTACTGTACACTGATCAGGTCTGGTACGGGAAGCCCCCGAGATGCCTGTGTCAGTACTTCAGGATCTGCTGATACTGTGAAAAAAATTATGAATATAATGACAGAAATTGTCATAACTTCATGGCTTTGTAAACCCAAGTGTGGAAAAAAAGTGTAAGCCAAAGCTTCTCAAACCAGGTTCTGCCTGTTTATTCAAAACTGATGTTACTACACATTTTAGAAGCTGCTCTGCCAAGCAAATGAAGTTGCTGTTGCTTAGAAATGACCAGCGTAAAGATGAAAGAAATACAAAATTTTCCATCCATCCCCACACTCAAAAAATTATATATTCAACATGCACTTTATGAGTTAACAATATACAGTATACTTCCTGAGAAACTTCATTCTCTTTTCTATCCTACTATTGGAGCATACACAGTATACAGTACAGAATGGGCATACATTAACTATGGTGTAACCTAAACAGAAACATATAACATTTATTGCTGACTCGTATTTGAAGTCTTATTCAAATAAGAAATATACAGGGTATCCATAAATGATTGCCCTGATTAAAGCATGAGAGCATACTGTTTTAGGGTAATCATTAATGGACACCCTGGGTATAATTATTTACTACTTTTTTTTTTTGGAATGTTTGATGGTTATCTCAACCTTTTCACAGGTGTTCACATATTGATTGATGAAGAAGGTTACTTTAACGTATTTAACCACATATCAAAATTGGTAAATTGTAGTTTCTGCCATCATCATAATTTATTATGAGTATTTTTATAGTGTAGCTTGTACAGTCTAAACCAAATATCCAGACCAATAAGGGAAGATATATACATGGTATATCACCCTGTCTGTAGTACATGATTGGAAGTGTTCTTAGTTGAAAACACCACTGTGAGTACAGGATGACTCTTATCCTTCAGTCCTCCACAAGAAAAAAATTAATACATAAACATAAAACTTATACATATAATCCCTTTTCCTAATGAATGCTTTGTGAAATAAACTATTGGTCACCCCTACTATAAGCAAGGCTATGTAAGGATTCCCTGTTTCATGAAATCACCCATCACTGGTGAAACAATAATGAAAGGCAATGATCATTAAATCAATACCAAACAAGGGAAATAACCACAATATGCAGTATCTGTTGTATCACACAACTGTGTGATGTAAGTTTAGGGTTTGAGTTTAAAAAAACGTGTTACAATGTCACTTCCCTAAAAAGTGTAACAAAAACCCACATGAAGGATTAAGTAATTTTTCCTCGCAATTAAGGGAGCTTGATTTTTCATTTATGTGCAAGTGGCATTTTTATGTTCTGTTTTTCACCAAACATAATTACAGTTTTCATAATACTTTTTTTTTTATCCCTTGCAAGTTTAGTTGTTCATCATAACCAAGAATATGAATTGATATTAAGAGAGAATAGAAAGATTCATTTAGTACTATATTTGAGTAGAGTAAATGATTACTTTGGCCAGAGAAATAAAAGTGTTTGTAGTATTGCTGAAGAGATTACAACAACAGTTTTTGTCAAAATTAAAGGTTATTAAGGTCATGGAATTATGTTATGATATTTTAGTCATAGTAAACTGTATTGTATTGATAGTTATTATTTTATTTCCCTCTAAATAAAGTTTTGACATTGAAATGAGTTCTGTCAGTCGGTCTATTCATCCGAGTTTCATAATTCCAGGTTAAATTCAGAAACCAACTTATTACATAATAATAAAAGTTGATATGCAAATTAATATGTTAGTAAAAATTTGCTTCTTGCTGTATAGGACCAAATTTTATTTTATTTATTTTCACAGGATTTAAACATGTAAGTCCTCTTGTTTATTTTATATCATATATACTATATATGGGCCATGCATTATGTGTTGCTTTCATAGAATTATTATTAACCACTGCTGAATATAATCACCTGGCTTTAGCTAAATAAAATATTAAAAGTGGTGTCCATGTTGTGAAGAGGTTAACTCCTAAAATATGACAACTTTAATCCATGAAGTACAGTTTCAACATACTCTTGGGAATAGGCACCATCTTGAAGGGGAATAAAACATTGTACTTAAGTGGTTAAGACATACTGTATTATTAATTGGCCTTATTCACTGTACTCTAGGAGTTATAATAACAATGATAATATTTATTCAGCAAAGTTGTCATACAGGTTTACAATTGGATAATCATGTTTATATGCTATGCAGTTACACAGTTCAGCATGAATATAGACAATGTAGGTATGCGGTGCAATAAGACCGTGGGAGTACTGTACAGTATACAGTAGTTTCCTTTGTGCCGAGACAGTGCAGATAAACAATGGTAAACAGTTTGGCAACTTGACCAAGGATAGCTGACAAGGCTAACAGGGTCTTAGATTCTTGCTTAGGTTTACATGTGGTCTAACCAGTAACAGTATGTCTTCAGCAGTATTAGTGAAAGTTTATTTGATAGACTTAAACAAGTATTACATTGCACTTGGACTATCCATGGCTGACAGATCACTTCCACAGTTCTACATTCTGTGCTGTAGCTTCATATATTATGTATTTCTTTGTTTTAGCTTTGAGTTGCTTAATACTACGTATAACTGGATTTGATGTGGTCTGGTAACTTGTTCCAGTCTGTTATAGCAATCACTTAAGTTATCATGCTCAGGAGGTTGGCATCATGTGCAATGATTGTAATCGTAGTCAAGGGGTTAAAGTGGGACATTGGTACACATATTTTTATTTTATGTAGTTACTAAAATTGTTCATTCCAAATTGGTGATTTCTAATCAGTGAACCCTGTTTAGTACTGACTAAAGGGATTGTTCTCTAGTATTTTTTGAATTCTTACAAGCCTTTTCCTACTGTGCTGCAAGATGGCCAGAGTCAAGAACAAATACAAACTCCTTTCACTTTTCTTCATCTAGTCATTGAAGCTGCTCTGACATTCTCATAGACTATAGTGCGTTTGTTCTCAGCTGAGAAAAGATGCCCCTTCTCCTCCTCAAAAGTTACAACTGATTGGCCGTTGCAAACCTGTCCGATTATGTCCTGAAGTATTGATGTATTTCTAAATAAGTTAGCAGTGGCGGGAAAAATATGAAGTTGTTCACAGTCATATTTCCCGCCTCTGCTGACGGTCGTGTAATATTTCAATGTGATTCTGATCTTTAAAAATTTTGTTTTTGCATAATGTAGTATTACTGATACGTAATTTGTCTTAGTATGCCTTATTGTGGGTAAAAATAAGTCGCCTATATTAAATGCATCCTCCGAAGGCGTGAATTTGCTACCAGAGTTAAACAGTTAATTCATGTATAATACTTCTGATAAACTTCCTACGTGCTTAGTTTGAAATAATGAATGTATGTATCTATATAATTTGGCTAAATATCTTTCTCGTCTGAAACGGTCATCCCAACGATTATGAATAAACTTATTTAGAAAATACATCAATTCTTCAGGACAAAATCGGACAGGTTTGCAACAGCCAATCAGCTGTAACTTTTGAGGAGGGGGCGGGGCATATTTTCTCAGCTGGGAAACAAAAGCGCTATACCTGATGTTATGCTTTCCTATCATTCAATCGTTATGCTTGGATTTGGTTTTCCATTCTACCTTTGAATTAAACAGTTTTACCAATCTTTCCCGTTCCCATTCTCTTAACACTGTACCTTCATTACCCTCCATTACCCCTTGCTAAACCAAAGTCAGCTTTGTCAGACACTTCTTTTATTTCCATATCTTCTCCTACTATAGTCATACAAAAAATATACATATTATCTTGAAACTCCATTTCTTGTCCAATCAGCGAAGATAAGCAACGCGGGTCTAGTGAGTACTTGGATGGGTTACTGCCTGGCTCTAAGAACACCAGATGCTGCTGGCATATGAAATCTAATGGAAACAAGCCTCTCATGGCTTTGTCAGTTGTCCTTGGTCAAATTGACTGAATATCAATTATTATTACAGTACAATATATTCAACGATTGCAAATGTACGGTATTTCACAGTATTTAGAATATTTCTTAATTTTTAATACAACGTGTTTGGATTATGCTCATGTGAATATTTAAATGCAAAAAGTTCATCCTACAGAATGTGATATGTACAGTTAATATTTTTTCAGAATAATTATTTGATACTTGGTTCATAATGACATTTCTCCTTATAGTGCAGTGATTCCCAAAGTTTTTCACATGGTGCCCCCTTTCGTATTTACCAAACCCTCCCCTCCCCATTTTTAAAATCACCTTATACATACTTGTATTTATAACTTTGAAGACCAACTAACTCGTAATTATTTTATCCATGTATTTTGTGAATATGTGGAAGATTGTAATATATTAAGGGAAAAAAGGTTCCACAATATTATTGAAAATTTTAAATTTTCATAATAAAAAAAGTAAAAGCCCTGTACATGTTTTTCCTGTGGCCTCGTGCACCCCCCCCCCCCTCCTCCCCCTGAACCACTGGTATATTGTGAAAAAAAAATTTA